CCATAGGATAGAGGCCTAAGAGCCCTTCCAGACAAGCCCTGTATCCCAGGATCCGATCCCTGGTTTTCAGTTTAACCCAGATTATCTGGCAGTGGGGAATCATATAATCCAGTTTAAAGTTGAAAACCTGGGATCAGACCTGTCTGGAAGGGGTCTAGAAATAATGTTGGTGTCAAACTGTTAGAACTGTGTAATTGAATATATCAATGCTTTTATGTTGGGGTGCGAATCGGGAGGTCGTGGTGTAGTACACTTCCCACTATTTCTCACCATGGACTGTTTTGGCTAGGGCGAATGGGAGTTGTAGTTGAAAGGTCTCATAGCTCTCTATTGAATCTTTGAATGATTTAAGTGTCATCCACTTGTGTGGATGATTCCAAATCACATCTGCATTGGTTAATGTGGATTGCAAGGAGAGATCCATTTAAATATTGGCTTTTGTTACACAACCATTCCGAATACCTCTAGCTTAAATTATGCTAGATTTCTGGACATTAGAAAGAGCAATATACACTACATGTCAGGGCTGATTGCCAGCCTTTGACTTGGCTCAGACACCTCAGTTCCTGTGCTAATCAGTTTCCAATTTGGAGACTATGTTTTTGTGGATTTGTAATGTTTTCTGCTTAATTCCCAGACCATTTTGAAATCACAGTTAATTGGCTGGCCAAACTGCAAACATGTAATACCTTTCTTTTATATGTGCTATAAGCCCTTCTAGAGACCATGTCATGTCATCTGTCAACTTTAAACAACCCCAGGAATTCCATAGGTTTTTCTTAAGGAAACAATCCTTAGGGATAGTTTTTGCCAGTTTTTCCCTCTGAAAGATAGTCTACAGCACATGGTATTTCTTAGAGGTTGTGCCCCTTGTAAAGTAAACTGAACAGAGATGAGATGGGGTCTTTCTGCAGTGGACAATTTTAACTAAATCCACAGCAAGGTATAGCAGCATCCAGTAGATGAAATGGTCTGTAAGTGGAAATTTCTATTGAAATATTTTGCACTTGTTGGTTTTTGGATTCCTTGCTACTAGGTATCTCTCCTGAGTGGCAGAGTCACTCAGAGTACATGTTGTGGATTGCCTAGTATAGGTTGCCATTTGGTATGACTCAGCAGGACTATGTTTAGTGTTTTACCCCTTGTTGCAATTTGCCTATCTTCTGCAATCATCTTATGTTCTTTTGGTAACTAAATGTGATTTACCGTTTTTGCAACAATGAGACCATCTGAGATTATATGCACTTGTAGTTTTTTAGACATACTTTGGGGGTTATTTTATTATACTTCGTATTTCTTTATTACAGCAAGCTGCTCTAGAGCTGATGGACACAAATACAAAGTCAAAATAAAAAAGCAGCAGAACAAGGCAATCCATTTTAAACCAATAGAGACTAAAATTTGTCAGCAGACAATAAAGATTTAAGAAGTTCTTTTAAAATGGTCAGGGGTAAAACCATGTTAAACTATAACCAGGCAACAAGAACATAAAAGTTAAGTGATTGGAGTGGTTGGGAGGACTTTGCCTTGTACTGAAAAGTCTGAGATGGAGTTCAGACAGACTTCTTTGCAGAAAAGATTATGAAAGTGGAGAGAGCTACCAGTAAAAAGATCTGTTTTGAGTTATTGCCCCCTACATCACTGTTGGCACTTTGAGTAGAGCCTATGATTGTCTCGGCTTATGGGTGTAGGTGTACCTTCAGTGCTCTAATACAGTACAATCCTCATGCTCGCCGTTTCAACTACTTGCATCCAACATTTCTCTAGAAATTTTCTATGTCCTCTAGCTGTTTCTATGATACGTTTTCATCAGAAGTTACCCTAGAGTTGCCCTGGAAGACCTAGCAAATTTCTAGAGAGGTATCCCCCAAGACGACTCAAGCCCCTTCCACAACTGTATAAAATCCACATTGAACTGGCAATGTGGAATCAGATAATCCAGTTCAAATCAGATATTGTGGGTTATCTTCCTTGAGGTTCTGGGTTATATGGCTGTGTGGAAAGGTCCTCAGTGGTAACCTCCAGCAGAAGTAGTTTATTTCAACAAGGTTTGTTATTATTCAGGGTTCCCTGTTTACATAGTAAGATCAAGAACATCTCCCCTGTGAATATGGGGCTTGTTTTTCTTTTTAAACACAGACTGGATCTTTTGGAAGTGCTTCGTCTATGTGTTCCTACATGGCAGGGGCATTGGATGGGTTAGCCATTCATTTCTCTTCTGACTCTATGATCCCCCATATCTGGTTTTGATTTAACTTTATTTTGGAACATTTTTGTTGTTTTGGGGAGTTGTGAGGAGACAAATAAAGCCCATTCTGTACATTTTGGCACATTTTGTGTTAGTTTGTGCCATTTGGGGGCTGATTTTTTTTAAAAAAATCATCCTTTAATTTCTGGTATCCAGGGACTTTGGGGGGATGTCTACAGGGAATTTGAGGACTATAAAAGGGATGCTAGAGCTTGTACCTAACCTCCAGGCTACATGTCTCCCACTCCTGCTTTAACCAAAATGATACAATAAGCTTAATTGAGGTTATTTTGGATCAAAAGATGAAGTTAAATCTGAAATAACTGTGGATGAATGCTAAATAGAGAGAGCTTTATAACTTAGCAAGTTATGGCATAATTGAGGCTGGCTATCCTTACAGCTTTTAGTCCATATCTGTCATGTATTTACTATCAGAGAACTCTTGCCTTAGTAGAATTAGGGATGGATAGATACATAGACTGTTTACTATATAAGAAGGAATTAATTTCATTTTTCTTAGGTCAGCCCCTTGATGGAGTTTTAAAGCAGCTTCTTAAGTTTTGTGGCTTGTTAACCAGTTTTGTACCATTGTAGCTCTAGAATGTAGAACACCTGTGTAGACAGCCATGTAAATAAGGATATATATTAACTTCCTTTGTGGCTAATTTGGTGATATCTATCATCCCATCAAGTACCGGAGGTATTTTTGCCCAAATGTTTGGAAGAATATATGATATGAAAGGATCGTCTATTGGTTTTTTTAATAGGGTCATCTTAGACATAGATCCAAACATTCAGAAATGAAACATTAAAAAACCCAGTACTCAGCTTTTTATGCCCTGTTTTCCTCCCAATGCTGTAATTATCAATGTTGAGTAGACAACAGGAGGGAGTTTCCTACTGATATTTTGACTAATGGGTCATCCACATGTTTTTCATTCCTTATATTTGCCTTTGCACAAGAAATAGATATGTGTACTTCATTGTCATGAGTTTGGTTTGTACAAAGCTTTAAGAAGATAGATCAAGCAAATCCACACCCCCACCCCACCCCACCCCCAATAAATGCAAGTAGACTGTGCCCTCCTGACTCACGGTGAATGTTGTATTCTGTTCACAGAAAGGTTCTGCAGGCTGGTGCTAAAAATAATTTTTAAAAATTGGACTATTTCAGAAATAAATACTGTAACTGACTGGTTTGGGGTGTAGGGTTAGCACTAGGTGAAGGGTAAGCACTAGGTGAAGGGTAAAAAAATGGACTAAATAAAAAATAGGGGCTAACCCCCCCCCCCCAAAATGGGAAGAACTGAAGCTTAGTTCAGTTGTTTGTCCCGATTTAATCAGTTGCTGAATGATAAGTTAACTCTTACATGAATCCCATTGATTCAGTGGGTCTGCACTAGTTGTTTAAACCTTTGTGTTGTCAAACCCCCAGGTTCAATCTCGGATATCTTCCATTAGATTCATTGTCTCATTCAGTCATGGAGAGCTGTTGCCAGTTAGGCTAGATAGTACCATTTGGGGTTTGTGGTGCCAGTGAATTGATTCTGGGTTTTCATCTGAACTTTGGAAGGTGGTGAATTTGTTTTGGGGAAAATCCATTGAACTGATTACACTATATAACAAAATTTGGAAAAAAAACGTTCCTAGTTTGAAAGTGTTATTTCCTGTTTAACTGTGTGCTACTTACTTTGAAAGTAGTTGTTACACTCCAGAAACTTCATTTTTTTTGTGGCTGAGGGTAATACTATTATTTCCTTCAGTCTAGGTCAGGGGTTCTCAAACTGTGCTCTGAGGAGCCCTTGGGGCTTTGTGAGTGATAGTTAGGAGCTTGACAGCACCATGCTGGTTCCTGCCTCCTCCTCTGTCCTCTTTCCTCCTCCTCCTTCTAAGAAATGCAGGGAAATTTAAGTTTGGAGCAAAACAGCAGCATCAGCATCCTCCTGGGGGAAAAAACCTCTCTCCTCTGCCTCCCTCACTCTCCAGACTCTCTTACTTGCCACTCAGATCCTTTTCTTCTCCCCTTCTTTGCTTCCAAAACCCCATTTCCCTCCCACCAATCAAAGGGTACTTTATTGTGCTTTTCCTGCATGGCAGATGTGGGTTGGAGTGGATGGCCCCTGGGGTCTTCCACTGAAATAGTTAAGTTTATGTTGGTTAAAATTGTTTTTCATTTTAAATGCTGCATTGTTCTTTCTTTACTTTTTTTTTGCACTACAAATGCAGTGTGCATAAGAATTTGTTCATTTTTTAAATTAGTTCACACACTCTCCATACATCTGCCTTTAGCCTGACCAATCTGTCAAATTTTAAAATGCAAAGCATCAAAAAGTTTGCCCTTACCTGATATATATACATTATATACAATATATAATGTATAACATATGATATAATATAATATATAAAGATTTCTTGGGACTCCACAAGAAACGTTTGCTTCAAAAAGGGCTCAGCAGCTGAAAAAAATAGAGAAACCCTGGTCTAGGCACTTGATTTGTAATTTTCCTTAATGAAAATATACCATCTTAAAACTTTCAGTGTGCAGACTGCAACCAAGTTTTTGCAGTTCAATAAACTCTTTCCATGTTTTTATGATAGAACCAATTAGGAAATGACATTTATAACCCAGGAACAAAAGTGTTATTGAACTAGATGGGATCAACAACCTGGCCCTGCTAACGTCAGCTTTGTTGTTTTTAATTGATGCATCCAGTATACTGAACCTTACTGTTCTGATTTCTGCTCTTCACAGTCTGCTACATATTCAATGATCAGAAACAGAATGGCTGCGAAGGAGAAGTTGGAAGCAATGTTAAATGTGGCCTTGCGGGTCCCGAGCATCATGCTTTTGGACGTCTTGTACAGATGGGATGTCAGTTCCTTCTTCCAGCAGATCCAGAGAAGTAGCCTGAACAACAATCCCCTCTTCCAATACAAGTACCTGGCTCTTAATATGCATTATGTGGGTGAGTATCTCTTTGCTGAGAAATAAAAGTACATGCATGCATTTACCTCTGGTACAACTTTTGAACTGAAATTGAAGCATACAGTGATGACTTAATTATGAACCTAGGTGTTAGCTTCCGATTTGGGATTCATAGTTGTATTCTGTCTGAACAGGGATAGACTGTGGTTTGTTTAAATTATGGCTTGAGCAAACCAGCTTTGAACTGATTTATGGTACTGAGTTGTGTAGATAAACCATTAATAGATGTAATAATAATTTACTGTGGCAAACAGAAGCAAATCCTTTCTGCCTTCTCATAGCCACACCAGATGAAAATAGGAGAGAAGAGAGTGTAGAGCACAATGGCTACCCAGGATCATGTTTGTAACACTAAACTGTAGCTTAACATTTAGTCAAAAGCCAACCAAAATTTCCAGGTGGTAGTATCTATCAAGATGGATGTATACTTCTAGTCTATCAGTACACATTATCACACTATCTTTCTAATTTATGTCTCCCCAACCACGCCAAAAAAGGGAGAGAGGCAGGAGCAAGAATTAAATTATATATCTGGTGGCGTTTTAGAATACTAGATAAAATTGACAACTTACTGGAACCATGTTACGATTTGCCCATGTTACTTGCATCCAAAAATGTGGCCTCTAGGGCTAAAATGCCCTCTAAAACCATAGATGCATTTTCTCCATGTGTTTCCCTGAGTATATAAGACACAGGAGGAGTTTTTTGTAAAAGCAGGAAGTGCTAGAGATGTGATCCTCCAAGATCTGTACTCTCCCTGGTCTAGGGACCTTTAGACCAGTGGTTCTCAACCTGGGGTCCCCAGATGTTTCTTGCCTACAACTCCCAGAAATCCCAGCCAGTTGACCAGCTGTTAGGATTTCTGGGAGTTGAAGGCCAAAAACATCTGCTTTAGACCTTCTGAGTTCCACAGTGTGGATTGAATCCACCCAAACATATTCCACAAAAACTACCAAATGTACTCCAAAAAGCTGAGTTACAAGTGGTCGTGTCTGCGTGCTTGATTGTCAGCATTTTAGGTAAGCCTGTGTTTTAAATGAGAAACACAGTTATAAAGAACAATGAGTGGAATTTGCCATTGGCCCCCAACCAAGGAAGAAAACACATGTGGAATTAATTAAATGAAATAATGCCATGAGGAGGCAACGGGATTCTATACCCTGTTGTCTTCACTGTTCATGTGCAAAAAGAGACTGTTAAGAGAAGAATTTCCTCTAACTGTTGCTTTCCAGAAAATCTTTTCAAGATGGAAATCCACAAAATACAGGGGAATGGAAGCAGTCATCAAGGAATAGTGATAGCCTTCTCTCTTGCATGTTGACTAAACACAAAGCTGTGATGTCTCATTTGAGCTAATGCAGAAGTGAGAACTTGACAGAAGATGCTACAGAGTATTGAGTCACCAGTAGTCTAGTGGAAGTTTAGTGTCAATGGAGATGTGACAGACTGGTACACTATTTTAATGGTGAAGGATATGTCTGCTTCTTTCATTATCTTTCCTCTGTCACAAGCACAAGGTGAACAATATTTTAAAGAAGAATTTGGTGTCATCTAGAGCAGTTCTTCACAATTTCTTATCCTCTAAATATTTGAGGTCAACTACCCAAGGTCCTAGTTAACAGGGCCAGTGATCAGGAATTGTGGTAGTTAAATTCCCAGCATTGGAGCACTGATGATCCAGGGTTTCTTTATCAGGATTCTCTGTAACCCCAGGATTTCTCAATAGCTTTCTAAGAATTCCAAAAGAAATAAACATGGGGTGGGGGGAGTTGAGTAACTTTGAACTATAGATACAAGATGATGAGGGGCATGCTGCTGAGGATATTGTGGGTGGGATTTTGGTGGGATATTTAGTTTTAAATGTTATTTTAATTCTTATTTGATTATATCTTGACACACATATTTAAGTATGTTTTTTATTTTTTTATTTGTTGTGTTTTTAAAAGTATTGGGTTGTGTTATTGTAAGTTGCCTTGAATACCTATGAGGAGAAAGGTGGGGTAGAAATATAGATAACAGCAACTATCATTTTTGTGCAAGGGTTCCTTGATATCTAGGCATTATTTCAAGGTTTGTTCCAGGTAACAAAAGGTTGAGAAAAGCTATTATATTTTTTTTTTTTTTTTTTTATTGATTTGTGGTGCATACAGAAAACAAAACCGACACCAAAGGAAAACCGAAATAAGTAAAAAGTAAAAAAAAAGAGAAAAAACAGAAAAAAAGAAATACAAAAGAGTATGCCAGTTAGCAGAATGGTATACAGTCAGCGCTCATTAAACATATAAAAAATCAGCTTTGACTGTACAGTTATAATACATTAACATTTATTGTCCCTCTAACCCCACACCCGTGAACCCAACCCCTGTGACCTCTGACACCACTCCGTATGGATCACATAACTAACCCGCAACTACCCACGTATCTTCTTTCACTGAATCCCCTTTATGGCAATCTTCAAATCTACTTTTGTCTTCTTTTCAAGATATCCAATTGCCAACCGCCATTTTTCAACAAATTCTTCATTATTTCCACCTCTGCTACTATTTGTCAGTTTGGCCATTTGGATATAGTCTACTAATTTATCCCTCCAATCCTTAATATTTAACTCTTTTTTCCCCCTTCCACGATTTAGCTATTATTAGTCTCGCAGCAACAAAACAATACTGACAAATTTCTTCATCTCCTGTGCTAATACGCCTCCTAAATATTCCTAATAAGCACATTTCTGGGTTTTTCTTGATTTTTTTGCTGATCATTTTGTTTGTTTCTTTCATCACTTTTTTCCAGAATTCTTTAACTATGTTACAGGTCCACCATACGTGGAAAAAAGATCCCTTCACCTTCTTGCATCTCCAGCAAAAGCTATTATAGAGTACTTCTTGGGTGACATATTTGGCACCGCATTCTTTGAGTCACACTCTCCTGATTTAGCTGGCAAAATATACATTGGATGCATTTAAATACCTGAACATAGAAGCTGCAACTGGAAAATGATCAGATGCTGGCTTTTAGGTGGAATGTGATTGAAGAGCTCTCTGTCTGAATGGCTAAGGGCCATTCAATAATATTGGATAGTAGAAACTTTATGACAAAATAATCGCTTTACATGGCCTACCCTTAATGTGGTAATTTGTTCTCTAGCTTTTGTGGCTTTGGAAGAGAATTAGATACAATATGGAGATATTAATCAAGAACCATTAACCAATGACTGAGCCCTCCAGTGGGACTCTGGTAACCATAGAATCTCCTGGGCGGACATAAACAATTCCTAGAGAGGGCATAAATATTAATTTAACATGGGTAGGTGAAATCAGGGATACAAATCCCACTGGTCCAGCATTGCATTGTATATAGTTTAGTGAGTGTATGTGTGTTCTGATGATGTTTTAATAGTTCTGGGGTTCTTTTTAAGAAATTTAAGGGGATGTAGTGAAATATTAAGTAAGATGCACTGTCTTGCAGCTCAGATTATCAAAGATTTATTATTATTATTATTTTTGCATTTGTGCTAGTATGCAGTGCTCTTGATTTTAGGGTTTGTTTTTGCGGGACATCCTGCAGCACATTTTGTTCTAGTTTTACAATGAACTTCTCATGGAATTTCAACCAATTCAACATAGGTTGAGGCAGCCACAAAAATGAAGTTTCCAGAGTATAACAACTACTTTCAAAGTAAGTACCACACAATTAAATAGGAAACGACACTTTCAAACCAGAAACAGGTTTTTTTTTTCAAATTTTGTTACATAGTGGTATTGAGCATGCCAAATTGATCTTCTTGTAGCTAAAACAGATAGGATCTGAGGACCCAACATTGGGAAACTGTGGTTCCTGAATTAGTTGTCCATACAGGTACTAATCTGATTAAGACCTTGGCTTCAGTAAAGACTGCATTGGCATATGAGTTACTCCTAAGTCTTTATAAAGCAGGAGTAGGAAAAACCAACTCGCATAATTTCTTACCATGTTATGGTGTGAAGGGAATTGAGTGCTAGCAAACAGCTAGTGAGTCACATACATCCCAGTCTTGGTGTCGAAATAATGGAAGTTTTGAATTGAACTCTACAGGTCTGTCATTTTGCTAACCTCATGTTGAATTAATATGAGGCAGGCCTAGTGTCAGCATCTGGCACAGTTGGTAACTGCTTAATTTCACGGTTCTTAGGGTTTCTAAGTGTCCTCTTTTGTTGTGGGATGTCCTGTATTTGAAGTACTAAAGTCTTGCTCTGCATGGGGAATTTTGTAGGGCCCAAGTTTATGTGTTTCAGAGTGGGTACTCACCACACTCCTTATCAAATTGGACTTCAGCCCTTAGTCTGTTTGTTGAGATTGTGGCATTGCACTTCCTCATTTCTTTCCATCTGAGCTGATTCCAAGCAGTAAAGTTTGAAATCTCGCAGGAACCTTGAGATCTTGAGGGAGCCTCATTTTGGCTGACCTCACACATCCCATTTTGATTTTCAGAAAACCTGGCAACCTTAATGGCTCCAGAAGGTCCTCCAGGTCTGACATCAATTTATATTTAAATCACTCTGATTTTAGTATCTGGCAGAACAGCTCTGTAGTGGCCACCACCTTTGCCTTGAGAAAAGGCCTCTTGGCTCAACCCCAGCATGACTCTGTTACCTTGGACATGAGGCATGGAAGTATTTGGGGAAATAACACCACAGTGCTCTCCCTATGAGATTGTTGGTGGGTAGGTGGTGATGGTGTGAAGCATTATGTCCTCCTTTTTCCTGGTACCAAGCCTGGTAGGAGGTCTCTAATTCTTCAGCCTCTGGCAAGGGGAATAGGAATGTTTAAGTCATGCTGACTGAACATAATTGCCATAATGAAGGGCTGCACTATATGGACATAGAAGTTGAATCCTGATCTGTCCCCCAGCTATAGAGTCCTAGTCATTTAGCATTTCTTCTCCTTGTTCCGGAACATTGCTGCCTTAGCAGTATTTGTGGGAATGAGGTTCATTATAACTTCTGC